AAGTACAAATACTTTGTTACATTCCACCACTGCCCACAATGCTTCTATAGGGGATTAAAACTGCAATGCGTGAATATTACTCCAGTATTATTTGCACAAACGCCTCCGGGTTGAGTGTAAGACAGCTTTTTCGTTTCCAGTCTTACTTGTTCGTATGAAGTTGTGGTCTGAAATATTTTACACTTGCTGCCTCCACAAGCTACTAAAGAAACGTCAATAATGTTTATCGTATTTTCAAGAAGACAAGCAAAGTACCATTTATATGTATTTTATTCTCAATTCTGTACTGCTGCAGTATCCTCTATATTCTACCCACTTCATAGTGCTACTTTGCTCTGCCACATATCGCTTTACTACCTCATGTTGAATTATATGTTGTTAGAGATCTTGTAGTATTTTATACTTGTAGTATTTTTTGTATTGTAACTTTGTATGCTCCTGTTAATTGTCTGTAGTCTGTGGAGAAGGCATTCAAGTAAGAATTTCATAGTACTTTGTACATATGACAACAAAACTTCAAAACCATACAAGCTGGAAAAAAAAGCTTCAAATTCTACACATCATCAGATATATACAACTAGGAAGGTAAGAAAATGACTGAAGCTAATTCTAACAGCACTTTAGCTGCCTAACAATTGGAGAAACAAGTCGATGTGTCAAACGAAATTTTTTTATGTTATTGGTATTCAGTGTATATATGTCGAACTTGTCATGGATGGTCATGAGACATTTCTAAAACCTTTTGGGCATGTATCATTCCTCATATTGTATACTCTGCATAGCCGTCGACAGTGTCTTTAGAGCTGATCGCAGTGATGACCAGAAATGCTTGAGCAGCTATACTTTTAAATGGAATTATGTCACCGTGCTAGCGCAAGTAGACCATTAAGTGTCATGTTCCAGGGTGCCACAGCAGGGCCCTTCTTGACGCTTGAATCTGGAACAGCCAAAAAAAATCAGAGGCACTGTGTGCCATGAGAACACCTGTCAGTGCACAAACAAATGACCTCATCTGCCAAACGTGAGAGCAACGGAAAGGTGCGCATCAACTGCTTCACAGGATATACAACAGCAACAATACAACTGTTTGCCTTGAAGTACTGAGAACATAATTTAAAAAGATACATGCTGTATAATTATTAAGTAGATGATTTATGAAGCAATTATACACTGTATAATATAATAAATGAAGCTGACTTTGGTTATCATTTACTTCTTTGAGATTTAAGATACGTTGTCAAGTATTCCAGTCAGGGTCAGACAGAACACTAGGAAGACAATATCTTTCGGACCCCCACCAACATACCCTGCCAAGAACATGCTGTTTCTGTTTTCTGTCTGTTCATAAACATTTTGCTAGATTTTACAGCCGGCACAGTAGTTAGCACTCCTGCCTCACACCTCTACGACCAGGGTTTGAGTCTCCACCACAGCTCGGATTGTAGAGTTTGCATGTTGTCATCGTGGGGTTTCCTCTGAGTACTCTGGTTTCTCCCCACAATGTGAAAACATGCTGAGGTTAAGCATCTGAGTTACCAGATTGTTTGTAGGTGTGAATGGGGTGTGACTGTGCCCTACAATGGGTCGGTGCCCCATCCTGGGTTTTTTCCTGCCTTGTGCCCATAGGGTCCGGACCCCCTGCAACCCTTAGGTCCAAACCATAATGCTTCACAATCTGCCAAATGTCTTCAATAGTAGTTTTTTAGTTCACACCAAACATAATGTCTGGCTTTCTGGCTAAATTACCATATTGACTCATTCATCCAGAGTGCAGTAATCAGTTCAGTTCAGTTCAACTTTATTCGTACCCAAAGGTAAATTTGCTTTGCAGTAAAGTGAGTCACAAGAATAACACTATAACATAATCACATAACCATAATTCCACATTCCACATAAAAGACTAATACCTCATTCACTTATTTAGGAGGCTTATAGCAATAGGGATGAAGCTGTTCTTAAAATGTTTTGTTTTACATAGAGGCTATATCTTCGTCCTGACTGAAGCAGCTGGAACTCATAGTGTAGTGGATGAGAAGTATCTTTTAATATAGAGCCAGATAGACTCTGTACCTGCCTGGAAAACAACATCTCAGGATTCATCTGCTGCTCTCTCATTAACTTACTAGACCACTTCACTTTTGATTCAGACAATTCTTATTTTTAAGAGACAAATTTCCAAACCAAGACACCATACAAAAGGATAAAACCGATTCAATAAAAGCTCGATAAAAAAGGATCAACAGTGTTTTGTCAATATAAAAAGACGACAGTTTTCTCAAGCAAAACAAGCGCTGATTTCCCTTTTTATAGATAGCCTCACAGTTTGCATCAAATGTCAATTTGCTGTCAATAACTGTGCCAAGATATTTATAGGTATCCACACATTCCACTATCTGACCTTTTATAGTTGTCAATTCTTGTACTAAAGGTTCTTTCCTAAAATCAATCAGCATATCTTTAGTTTTTGAAATGTTCACTTGCAGAAAGGATTCATCGCACCACTGGACAAAATCACATATAATTTCACCATGGCAGGTTTCATTGCCCTTCAACAGACTAACAACAACCGAATCATTTGCATATTTAAAAAAAAAAAATCTGTCCTCCCTTCTGCTACGACACATATTTGTGTAAAGAATGAACAGCAGAGGTGACAGAACACATCCTTGTGGAGAACCAGTAGACGAACATGCTAAATCAGACAGAGTATTATTCACTCTCACTCTCTGTGTTCTGTTTGATAAAAAATCTAAAATCCAGCCCATAAGGTTAGGACTTAAGTTAAAGTGTTCTAAAAACCTCTCTATTAAAATGTGGGGTTGCATAGTATTAAAAGCAGATGAAAAATCAACAAATAAGAGCCTAGCATGTGTTCTCTTTCCCTCAAGATGTTTAAAAAGCAAATTCATTAAAGTGACTGTGGCATCCTCAACTCCACGAAAAGGTCTATAAGCAAATTGCAGAGGATCCAAGTCCTTCTCTGTCTTCCTTATAACTTCAGACCTCACCAGTTTCTCAAAGGTTTTCATTACAATAGATGTCAAAGCAACAGGTCTAAAATCATTTAAAGTCTTCGGGCTTTTAATCTTGGGGATAGGGACAACAACAACATCTTTCCAACATTTTGGAACATGCTGATTCTGTAAAGACTCGTTAAAAATATGATAGAATATTGGGCATAATTGTTTAGCACACGATTTAAGCAATTGGCCACAAATATTATCAGGTCCCTGACTCCTCTTTGTCTTTACTGACAAGAAAACTTTTACAATATCTTTGTGTTTAATCTCAAAATGATTAGTGTCTTAAGTTTTTGATTCAGTCCTTGCCTCTCTTTACTAAAATAAAACAATTCTTTGCCTTGGTGTTGCCTGCAAACAGCAGTCATGTTTTGAGAGCAATGGCTCTTTCTGAGAGCTCCCTTAAACACATTGACATTAATTGTGGCAAGAGTTGCCAATAAATTCCCTTCATCACGGGGCAGAATGGGGTGGAGTGGGGTGATGTGTCACTCTGGAGGTTAGGACTCTGTGCCCATTATTTTCCCTTTCTGTAAGGGTTTTGGGCAATATAATGACTGATGTGAAACTGCGTAGAAATGGCTGTGAAACCATCCCACACTAACAAGCATCAGCCATCTTCTGAGAGACTTAAAGATATCTTTTGAGCCTGGCATTTTACCTCAATGACTAAGGCCAGACCAGTCCAGGTTAATGTAAGGCAGAATCCTTTAACTTACTGTTGAATTATGTTTTAATAATCTGTACCTGCTTATATACTTTTAGGCATTTGGTACAATAATTAAGGTAAGGGTACAATTAATGTGATCAAGGGTGAGTTTCCCGAAGCGTTCTTAACGCTACGTCGTTCTTAAGTTCTGTGTTAAAAGATAGAACTAACGAACGACGTAGTGTTAAGAAGGCTTTGGGAAAGTCACCCCAAGTCTTTGGCACATTGTTGATCAACAGTATGTTGAATCTTGTTGAGTAGGACAAAATTATGAATGATGTCATTTTCGCAGAATTGTAGTTGTTGGGAAGTTATGATATAGGAAATGAAATTTTTTTTGTTAAATAAATATCTTAGATTGGGAAACTATGCCACAACATTGAGTCAGATGGACAAAAAGTATTATTACAGTAAACTATTTCTGTATAATGAGATTACGTTTAAAAGACCATTTAAAAGACCACATGTTTTAAACACACATAGAACACTTATTCAGCTAACACAACTGAATTCAATATAACCATATGAAATAAAACATATAACAATCTTTTTAGAAACTGGAGCTATGACATATATATAACGGCATGTAGCCGTTTTCCCATAAGGAGAAACAAACTCCCTGGAACCATTGGCGATGAACAGAAAAAATACTTAGCCTACATGTACATCTTAACGTATGGAATATCTCCAAAAAGCGGGGAATAATTATGTCTGTGAATCTGATGCTACTCAACCTCATGACACCTCTGAAGAATACATGAATAATCTTAGATGGACCCATAAGTTAGCAAAGTACGAACTAAAACTCGACTTTTGGACAACTCGTACTTCGGAACGAACTGTCATTAAGCCTATTTTAAAATTTAGAATTAAATAGAATGGTTCGTAATAATGCTCGTGCAAACATCGCGCGGCTTAAGCGGTTCGTCGGCTCGAGGTACAGTATATGACAGTACCTTAATTACTTCGTACCATATGTATAATTATTATTAATATCAAGTATCCTTATATAAACATTAATAAGTACAATTCTTATTGTTGCGACTTGCCCACAAATTCGTAACCTGGGCACTGCCTATAACGTACAAACTAGCCTACGGCGATACGTAGGGACTAGCCTACTATAAGTGTTTAATGAACGAATTATTTTCATATCAGCATGCCTCACCGAAGAGATTATTAAATCATAATGGAAGTTCTTCTGGTAAAGGTACATAAGAACAATAAGCACAAGCACTACATCTTTCGCTAATACTACTAATGCTATATATAATACTAACAACACAAATAATGATATACTTACCCACAGGAAGAACAAAATGGTGAGCTTCATGTTTGTTTGTTTTTAACATTCAGATCTCATAAAGTCAGTTACAGTATTTCATGTTTAGGGTTGAAGGTGAAAACCAAGGCAGGTAATTTAAAATAATGAACCGTTATCCGTGAAGCCTCACTTATGTACGCGAGTATAAATGTAACTGTCAGAGGGAGGCATCTTTGAAGCACTAAATATACGAGAGCATAAGAGGAAGTACATATTCGGAAACCTTGAAACACTACTTTCATCTCTGAACGGCTGAGATGAGCTCATGGTGTGGCTACAGGAGATTTCTGTGATAAATGAACCTGTTTATTTGCGGCGCAGTACTGTTTGCTATCACAACACTTGTAAATGCCAATGCATTTCGAAACAGAAATATTTTAAGTATTATTACTTACCAGGTAAGGTTAGGGGTAAATGTAATAGGGAGATGGCGGGAACGGGGTCGTGACTTAAAACAAGTCTGACTTTAGAAAAATTTGCATACATTTCCATTGAGTGTTCAATAAAAGTGCTGCAAGCTGCAGACATGGAAATCTCTAACGGACAGAAAGTTGATTGTACTGATGAGTAAAAAACAATGATATCAGTCAATTAATATGAATAGTAAGAAAATTTGAAACAATTTTCAAGTTAAACTTAAAATTATTTGAAAAAAGAACACAAGACCATATATTAATGACTGATATTGAAACGAACTACTAATTATATGGGTAAGCCTACCTCTTCAGCGACTACTTACTAAAATGATAATCGTATGGCGCCCTCTACTGAAATGTTTATGGCGTTTCGATTGCTTTTTCCCTACAGCTTTTCTAAATGAATTTAAAATCACTGGTAAGGAGAGGTACATAAGATCAAGTACTATTATCTTTCACTAATAGTATGAACGAATCTAGATGTGGTATAACATTGATGGTGATTATTATTGTTATTATTGTATGTATTGTATTGTAGTTGTTGTCTCTTATACTGCCTAACCTTTCTATTACACTTTATAGTACCTTGGCCATTACATAAGCCTATACAGGGGGCAAGACAATGTAAAAGAAAAATATGATAGAAGTACATGCAGGGGTGGAATAGAACTGTCTTTCGGCCCTGGAACAACATGGAGCTTAAAATTTATTCTAGTTTCATAAAAACGGGCGACAAAATACTAAATCAGCCATAAGATTCCTGCTGGAATGGAAACTTTCGGGAACAGTATCCAAAAGTGTGTAATCACACAATTTCAACTGAAAACTGACTCCACTTACTAAAATGATAATCAGTAGTGGTATCGTGATTGCTAAAAGCTTAAGAATATCAGACTTATGGCAGCTGCTTGAGCTGGCCACATTAACAGTGGTATCATGTGAAGCACTGCGCATCAGCGTTAGCTTTGGAATCAGGTACATGCATAAGCCTAATCCAACTTTATTTTGTATTTATTTCAAATAGGAACAGCATGTTTATAACACTAGAAACCCACTGCGACATACTGTAGGGCAGAGGTATTTAAACTGTGTGTCAGGATCGGTCCCTGTCCTGCCCTGGTCCAAGTGTCGCTTCCCTGCTTGGCCAGCAGGTGTTGCTGGTCATCCCATCTTCCATAATTTCCCAGGTTTATTTTAGTTTGTAGTGTGTGCTCTTGTTCCCTGGGCTACTACGTGACTCAGTGGGCTGAGCGTATAGCTATGAGAGAAACCAGCCTCAATTATTTATCATTCAACATTTGTCTTTTGTTGTATACCCCTGGGTAGGTTATGTTAGTGTACTTCTGTTAGTTCCTTGTTTTTGCTCCTTATCTCCTGTTTGTAATTATGTTCTGCATCATGATTCTAGTCTTTCCTAGTGTTTGTGTCTGTAGTGATTCTTGATTATGCTCACCTGTTTCTTATTAGTTGTAGTCCTTAGTGTTCTGTAAATAGTCCATACCTGTCCTTTGTTGAAGCTCTCGCTATGTGTGTCTGCCCTTGACCCGTTTCCTTAGTTTGCCATTGTGTGTTTGTAACTGTTGTTGTTCTCTGTTTGCTGCTGTACTACTCTGGTGTTCCTGTTGTCATGCCCTGCTCGAACCACCCTCTCATGTGCCATTTACCTCGTGTGAAACCCTGATTGTTCCCAGCTGTTTCATGTTATTTCCGGCTTGTCCTATGTATTTCAGTCCGCGTTCGAGTACGTTTCCCTAAGTCTGTCATTAATGTTGCTGTGTTTTGGAGTGTTACCCCATAATAAACCCTGTTTGTGTGCATCTACGGCTTCCTTTGCCTGCTTGCCTGCACCCATCGTGACAGAATGACAGACCTCGCGGAAGAAGAGCCTCCGCAAACCAAGAACCAATGCAACAGGAGGTCATCTACTGGCTAAATCAGCCCGAGGTCCAGGGTGACCCGGTAGCACTGGATCTAGCCAGCCGGAGCGGGACCATCTTACAAAAGATGTCTCCGCCCGGGAACGCGCACCTCACTAACAAGAATCTCCGGCACTGGTGCATAGAGTGACAGAAGGGAGGACCCAGCTGGTTGCGCTGCATAGCGGAACGGATGCCGATCCTCCGTCCGTCCTCTCAGAAGTGACCCAACCTCCATCGACAACAACAAGCCGGAGAAAAAAGAAGAAGCTGAAAGAGCGGAGACCAGAGGAGGAGCCGACGATCTTCCTGAGGGCCGTCTCCATCGCTGCTTCTACCCCCGCTGGATATTGGGAGGAACCTCTCCCGATCCTAAACCCAGCGGTGTTGCCTGCAGATGTCGCCACCACTGCTTCCCGTAGGCGAGTGACCGAAGCCCGCAACTCGGCCACTATGCTGCCCGTGCCAGCAGCTCATCCCTTCTGGGGAACGCGCCTGGCCCATAAAGGGGCCAGGTCAGTTCGGGATGTCATCCCGCGGGTCCCACAGGTCCTTAAAGGGGCCACGCTTGCTGCTAAAGTTGCCCTCCGCTGTTTCTGAGCCAGCGGCTTCTGTGCTGGTGGATGATGTTCCGCCGCCACTCAAGGTTCCTGTGCCGCCCGTCCCGGCTGCGCCCCCGGAGGTTCCTGCGCCGCCCGTACCGGCTGTTCCCCCGGAGGTTCCCATGCCAGAGGACAATGCTCCACCCCCGACTGTTCCAAACCTGACCTGCCCGTGCTTTATGTACCTGACCTGCCCGTGCTGAGAGGTCGCCACGACCGTCGCCGACTTATTCGATCCTGGTCAGGTCCCCACCTGTTGGTGTCCTGGAATGGGAGAGGACACCTGCGCAGGGGTCGAGTCCCGCCCACCCTGCCCCCCGGCTCGCCCTCAGTCTCCTTGGCTATGGCTCCTAGGGTGCTTGTGGGTCTTCTGGCTCCTGCTCGGCGGTCGTCTGTGGGTCCCCCTTCGATGACTCGTCAGCCGCCTTCGGCCCCGTCTCCGACGCCTCTTCGGTTGCCTGTGGGTCCCCCCGCTCCGGGCTCCCTGTTGTCCCCCGTCCTTTCCCTTCCAGCCTCCTTTGTCTCCTCATCACTATGTGTTCCCTCCTGGTCCTTTCGTTCCTCCCATTTGTGTTCCCTCGGTGACTCATTTTTTGGTGTGCCTGTCTGCATTTCCCGTTCTTTGTCAGTTGTTGTCCTGGTTTCTACCATTGTGCCTGTTCCGTGTGTCTGTCCTGTTCCCGGTCCCTCGTTGATGTTCTTGGTCTTGTTTTCCAGGTCCTGTGTTCCCAGTCCCGTCTCCTCGTTCCCCTGGGGCACACCCGGAGTTTGCGCCTTTTGGACGGGGGGTTATACCATGCCCTGCTCGTATCACCCTCTCATGTGCCATGCCCTCTCATTTACCTCATGTGAAACCCTGATTGTTCCCAGCTGTTTCATGTTATTTCCTTCGCCTGCTTGCCTGCACCCTTCGTGACACCTGTATTGCTCCATGCCTCAGTTTTTGTTTTTTACCTGCTGTGTTTTTGACCCCTTGTGGTCCTTTTGTTTCTTATATATTTTTTTCAGTTAAAAAAAATCCTGTTTTTGATCCACAATGTGGATCCTTCGTCGTGCCCAGCCAGAACACTGTGGAATCTTTTCATTGGTTTACACCAAGCATGTACATTTATTTCTGAGAATTTTAAAGGATGTGCACGGCAGCTCAACCTGTCCAGAAACATCGTTGGTTCACTAGGAAATCTCTCAGTGTTCCCGATGGCCAAAAAGTCAACACTTTGATAACTGAGTTTTCAGAGGAACATGAGGCAACTAACAGTGTTTCAGTGATGCTAAAAATCATTTGCATTGGTTATAAAAGCTGAAAAATATTTTAACAATCTTGAAAAATCATGACAACAGTTTCAAAACATGGACAAGCTTCACTGGAAAAGACAAACAGTTGTGTAGTTGGTACTGTTGTATTGTTGGTACTAGCATGCAGGATTTTAAGAGTCCTACTTAAAATCTTGGTTGAACCTCATGATTTTGGGAATGGTGTGTGGCTCAGTGTTTTAAAACTGTGATCAGAAGGTTACTGATTTAATACCATGGTTGGCAGAATAGTCACATTGTACAGTGGTACCTCAGTACTCGAACTCATTAGAACTTGAATTTCTTAAAAGTCAAACCAACCAGTTTGAAAAAAAATGACCTATGCTACGTTCACACTGCGAGCGGCGAGAGCGTCAAAGCAACCGGAAGTCATTCATTGTCTATGGGAGGGAGCGTCGGGAGGCGTCGAGGAGCGGCGCGGCGCGTCGCGATCTGGGCGGCGGGAGCGTCAGACAGAAGTTGAATCCAGTCAACTTTATGGTAATGAGCTGTGACGCGGTTGGGCGGCAACCAATGGGAATGTAGAGATGCTCCGCTAAAGAGAGCGCCACAGAACATAAGCGTGTAAACTTTTGTTCCGACCCAACCGTTCCTAGGCACAATGGAGGAGAGACTTATTATTGCTGTGGCCGGGTACCCAGTTATATATGATGTGTCTCTGTTTGCATACAGGGACATAAATAAAAAAAATGAGGCATGGACCAGAGTGTCCGAAACAATCGGTGTTCCAGGTGAGATGGTGAAGTGCATAATATATTTTTTTGTGAAAAAGGAAGGAGATCAGTAGTAATTTTGGCGCCATAGCAGAGAAAACAGTGCAAATTGTCGGTAATGTTAAACCTATTTATAGCATTAGTGTTTGTCAAAACATAATTATGTGTTTTAGTAGAACTGTCGTGAAACATTTTAAGTACTATTTATGTTAACTAAAGAAACATAAAGCACAAGCAACTACTTGGCGATCATCCATTGTGATCCAAGGTAAATTTGAAAAGAAGCGCTACACTATTTATAGGTAACATTTTCCCTCCAGAACGCTTGATTTTAAGTGGGAATGCAAATAACTGGCTCACAACAATATTTATTTGACAAATTATGTCCTATCAGGAGTCGGTGCAAAGATATAAGCTACACGTTTGTTTGTTTTGCGACCCCTTTAAAAAGTTCTCAGAGCCTGGCATTCTGAGCGGCCTTGTCCCCGCCCACTCTATGACGTCAGAGAGCGTCTCCGGCGTTGGCTAGCGTCGCGTTCAGGGCAGCGGGAGCGACGGCTGGCGTCTTTGACGCTCGCGGTGTGAACGTAGCACAAGAAGTCAATCTGAATCTCAGAAGTCGAACCATGAACGCCAACCTAAGATAACTTGTACGCGCAGGGAAATGAGTCACGTGGCACGTCTCTCAGTGGAAACAAAGGGTAATGCTTCAGTCTTAGCCTCGCATTCGCTGTGATAGCATC